ATTCTGGACTCTCTTTCGAGCGCCAAAATGCTGGTCGCCTCGGCCCCGGGTATCGGAGGCCTGCAGGTCATCGCTTGGCAACACAGCCCGAGTGCCAGCGGATCACAGACAGATCAGATCAGGTTTGGCCTCTTTTACGGTCAGATTTGCTGCGGATGAGCAAGCGTTTTTGGAGGCAGTTCATGGCCAAAAATGCTAACCTGCAATCCTCATAAAGCACACAACATGTTCTACCGAAAGCGTCGACACCTACTCAATGACAAGATGATCTAGTCGATTGTACTGGCAATGGCATGTTTGCCTCAACGACAAAACAAAAGTATTACTTGCCTTGAAATTCTAATTTCTAGCCCAAGACACACGAACCCTCTTGAGGCTGTGACCAACCAACACAGTCTAGTCTGGACAAGAAAAACTTTTGGAAATTACAGCAAAGTGACTTAGCCGTTGGTTTTTGGTAAACTCAACAGTCATTCCGTGCGATGCTTCAAGGTAACTAAGGCGGCTCAACTTGCTGTAAAAGATGAAATAATCAGCTCACAACCTATTCACCCAATCAAGATCATTTCGGAAGGGTCCAAATAGATTTCGGGGTAAAGGAGCAGAGAGGACTCAAATTTGACGAGGACCAGAAACAGATTTCTCGAGAAGGCGGAAAATCGGCAAGACAGACTGAACGAGATTCTGACCATGAGGAAAACAGACTTCCACGATGGTTGAACTTTATTCCATTTTGAGCGAGAGAGTTTTATGAAAAGGTTCAAAGGTCGATTCCACGAGAAGACGAGAGCTGTCGATTGGTCTCTTGGCTGGCTGGAACATTTTTGTTGACGGTAGTTCCGAGACAAACTTATCCGATTCACATGAAGGCGCATGACGCCCATGCTCAGAGCAGATGGTACCTTCCATACAACCACACTCACCGGCTCATCTCTAAGAAGCCGAGCTCTTTGCTGAGGCACAAAGGCATTTGGTTGGTTCCAGTCAATGTCAACCTCGAAGAATGTGAGTCTGTCTGTATGTCTGTGTGTATCTGCCTGCATGGGTTCACGAATTTATGAAACCAGCAATCATGCCTCAAAGTAATTGGACGAGAAATGACAACGTCTCTTCTCGTTCATTAAGCTTTGTTGGACACCATCATTCCAATATTCTCTATCTTTTAGCCGTCCCTCCGATTGCGCATGGATAGACACACGTGTGATTGTGTTGATGTGAGAGAGAATGAGTGAAGTAAAATGTATAGAAAAGTGACCCTAATTACAATCTTTGTTGTAGGTGCCTTAAAGCCGTCCCTACCATTTAGTTTATTTATTCAAAATAAGTGTATTTTGCTAAAATACTTTCACTCGAATTGGAATTGAGCTCAACAATCATGAAACAAGAGACGCCTTGAAACTCAACTTTTCCTCGCATACAAGGCACCTTTCGATTGATCTTGCGAGATGGCATTGTTGGAGAGAATTTTATTTCGTATGAAAACGGATAATAAAGAGATTTAATGGTCGATCTCACGACAAGTCGGCGGCCCATCCTCGTTTTATTGCCCCCTTTTGGCTTTAATACCACATTCAGGTTGACACAGTCCACGAGACATGCCCTGCCCAAAATGAGCAGAGTAGAAGAATGCTTGCAAAGGCAACTGGGTCCAACGGCCTGAAGTCACCGAACGTACAATGTACGTACGGTTCGACTTGTTGTCAATCGTCGTCAACCAAGAAAACTATATCCCGGCAACTTAATATGATTATATTCTTTTTAATGTGTAGTTCTCATTATGTTGTTGCTGTGTGTTGTGTACTCGGTAGACGTTCCAATCTACCGACGTCCACAAATAGGGAACTTGATCAGGTTCGTGTGGTTTAGTTAAAACTAGGCTGAAGGAAAGCATTGCCAAACTGCACGAACTGATTATAACCAAAACTAGGCTTAGACAATCTCTCTCTGAACTCTTGAATGATGTTGATTTGATGAATTTACAAGACATCGCTGACGGGTTAGGAGAGGCGATTGACAGAACTACTCGTCGGATGCATGAAAAGTAGCTCCGGAATTTAGGAATTAGAATTAGGTCGAGAAACTTTGCACCCAAAGTAACTCTTCCTAATCATGGTTGTAACAAGGTGGGGAAGATTTATCCAGTACAACTCTGGAGGATAGTGTATTACTTTTATTGGAAAGAGGATTAAATTTTGCTCTTCCAAATGAGGTAAATCATTCTCTGGAAATACTTGTTGAATTAATTAGCTTATCTCATAGATTCGTATTAAAGTAGGGTTTCGAGACTACCAGTAAATCATTGTAATGAGATGTATTCACCCTATTTCGT